AACTTCTCGAGTATCGACGCACTGTTGCATACTGATCGCAATGGAAAGCTGCGTACGGTTGCTATGGTTGCCTCCTCAGGTTAACGTGCTCGATAGCATCTATTTGGCCACCGGTGACTAACTTTTGTAGTTGCTGAAACGTTTACAAACACTGAAATGTATGTAAGCTTTTAAAATACTCTTAAGACCCACATACACCCTAAGACCATTTGTTTCGACTATACCCCGGCTGGAAAATCCAGCTGTTGACTGTGTTTTGGAACCTGGAAGCTAGTTTCTAGCTGGTCCTAGCTGGCCATTTGCTGGTGCAAGCTAGTAGACTGTTTTAGACCAGCAACAAACCAACTACCAGTTGGTCCTACGGCTGGTTTTGGAATAGGGTGGCAATTAATGATAAATTCTTTAACCGTGTTCCAAATCAAAGCTGCCATTAAATGGATTTTCCAACATGGTTTGGAGGCACCCTCCATAAGTCGCACCCTGAAATATCTACAAAAAGACATTACCCAGTCTTCGAAGTGTTTGCTGCCGTTTTGCAGCAACTCCTCGAACTGAATGGTGCAGTTGGCTACAAAGTCGTCGTAGCCAATCGGCGCGTCATGAAACACCGACAGCTCGATCTTCCGGCCGTCGTGCACCTCCGTCACAAACTCATCGTGCCAGACGGGACTGTTGGTCTTCTGCTTGGTCGAGGTCTGACCCACGCGAAAATCATCTACGTTGAGGGAGATGTAAGTGTCCAGCAGGAAGGTTTGCGTCTTGGGGCCGACGACGTGTCTCAGAGACCAGGCTGTGGGCTTCAGGTCCAAAGCCTCGCAGATCTTAATCTTCAGCAGACCGTTAAAAATCACCATGGCCACTTTTGAGAGCTTTAGTAACAATATTCCACTTCAGCGCCTGGTTAATTATTCAACCAGTTTAGGCTGTGTCACGGTCCACCGGTTTGTATTCGGGATTGTTTCTCTTTAGGAAATAACAGTAAATGCCCTTCGTCGTCCTCGTGGATCTGCACGCAAAGTGTAGAAGGTCCAGGCAGAAAGGGAGTCTATTGCTATGACCTACGGACAACCTGCATGTGATCTTGAAGCTGTCCAAACACCGCTGTAGGCAGTCAGCAATGCAAGTGTGAGCGAAAACGGACAGCTACAGTGTATCAGCAGCGATAGGACCAGCATTCCACACCTCAAAATATGCCAGAAATGTATGCTGGATCTCCTCAGGGTGAGCAGCCTGTTCCCTCGTCTGGCTGGAGCGCTGGATGTGTCTCCTCCGCGCATTGGGAGGAAAGTTGTCCCTGCAAAAGCGTCTTTCGATTCGCCCCAGACAGGAGAACCAGTGTTTACAAGGGTTTCGTACTCACTTGATTCTTCCAGGATCCTTGTTTGTCCGTCGGTACTCAGTTTCCTGCAGACCTGCCTATTTTTCTCCCGACTGTGTGTGTCTGAAGGCTGGTCCAGGAAATGCGCAAAACACGTCAGTTAGCGCGCGGAGAGGGCTGAGTGAGTGCGGCACTGGAGCGGCCCTGCTGGACCCGCTGCTGCTGCTTCTGCTCTCTGGCCAGGCATCATTCAAGGGCTGTAAAGATAAAGCGTGTGTGAGAAAACCAAATGTGATTGATGCGCCATGCAATGCAGATGACCATACATACTGTATGAAGACCGCCGGTGTCTCAATTCTTAGTCATTTTTAGTTATTTATATCATTAATGATTATTTGAAATGACATGGTCTGCCCCTATAATGCAATTGCCATTTCAGTAGCTATAACTATATTATTGGTCTTTACCAGTGTTGGGGAAAGTTACTTTTAAAAGTAATGCATTACAATATTGCGTTACTCCATAAAAAAGTAACTAATTACATGACTTATGACTAATGCGTTACGTTACTTTTGCGCTACTTTTTAAATCTGGACAGGGCTTGCTTGTTTGTTTTTTAAATAAAAAAGTTCTATTTTTGGCAAATATAAAAGCCTTTTCACACCAAAAGTGAAATGAATAAGCCT